GGCAAGATGTCTCTATGCAGTAACTCTCTGTGAATTAACTGCTTTGGGTGATAAGTGTTAGCTATTATTGTATGAAACTCTGAACAGTAAGAACAGTTGAAGTGCTAGGGAATAGTTGCTAATTATTCATTTCTTTAAGAATTTTGGGGGTTCTGATTCTGTTTTCATGTTTACAACCAAATGAGATCAAAAAAAGAATGTACTTGATTTTCCTGGGGCAAAAAAGCCCGAAATAATTAAATAAATGTCAGCTCCAAATATAGCTGTTGGTAATGTGTTAAGCTCATCCCTCATAACTGAAAGAACAAAGAGAAAACAGTGTGTGTGTTAGACTTTGAGGCTCCCTTACAAGATCATCAAATATCTCTATAAGACACAAAACAAACCTCTAAATCTCAAGTCATTCCTTTATGTACTTATGAAACTCTCAAAATTTCACGGGAGAAATAAGCCTTTACCCAAAAATAAACTTTGATGTTTGAATACAAAGACAAATGAAGTGTAAAAGCACATTCTAATCTGTCAGATAGCAATCTGACAGGTTAGAAAAGTATGTCCTATCAGATTGCCATCTGACAGACTGGATTATATTTTTAAATCGTTGTTAAGTGGAAACCAATAAAAAGACAATAACTAACTTTGCACATACAGCCTAACATTAGTGAATGTGTGACAGGATCAATTACGTTCCTGATGGGTACATCTGTGTCTTCTGTTTTACAATTAAACCATAATGGGAAAAAAAAAAAAAAAAGCTTAGTAATTGCCTGAACACTTCTCCACATTTAATGCAGCAGCCAATTGTATTCCTTTTATGTAATACATTGATTTCACATTTATAACCCCAACACCTAATACAGTGCCTGATGGAAAAAATCAATCAATCAATCTATTAGTTCCAACAGTATGTAACATGAAGAAATTGTTAAATACAATAGAAAAGGGAATTATAGAGGACGGAGAACACCCAGTTTATGTATCAAAAAGAACTGTTAGCTCTGGATTTCAGTCCTAAATTCTTCTTGGTGATACTCTTGCCAAGTCCTTTTAAGCTACTATTACTTTTTTCATCTGTAAAACTGAGTGATTTTATTAAATTAGCTTCAGCACCACTTTAAGCTACATGACGGAATAAATTAAGTTGACATAAATTGGAATTATGTTCACAGAGTTCTATAATGCAACTTTCTTAGAGAAATTTTATAGGTAAAATATTTTGTCATGCAAATGATCTTCAGGCAATGTGAAAACATTCTTAACATCCCTCTCCAAGCCACAATTTTATGTAGTTTCTGTAAGGCTAGTTTTCAAGCTCTTTAGGGTATGTCCTTTCCATCTCCAAGCATCTAGCACAAAGTTTTTGCTCATAGAACACATCCAAAGGTCAACTCCAAAAAAGCACATCTATAAAATGCAAGGTTAGCATTTACTCAATTTCTTAAGGAGAGTTGAACTGGGGTTATGGTGGGAAAGACAAGGGTAGTGAGGTGGGAGGAGGAAATGCAGACTTCAGCTGTAGTTCTCAAAAGTCCAAGGAGTCAAAAGAATAATTTTAACCCTAGGATTAAATTGGGCTCACTATCAAGTCCTAGTTGCTTTAGAACGTGGCCTTTATCCTAATTTCTCTATTCCCTACAATCTAGCACATAATGTTTTCAATTAAGATTAAAATGAGAACAAAAAAATCGAGAAGCCCTGTTAAAAGTAAAACAGGAGCACCACCCCCAATACTGAGTAGTATAGCTTAGTGCGGACTCTGGGTTCAAACCGTTTCTGTCATTTAACATCTCTCCGCCTCACTTTTCTCAACTGTAAAATGGGGTAAGGGGACTGATCTCAGAATTACATGAGTTAACACATGCAAAGGGCCTTCCAGTGTCATTCTTCTCGGTGCACGTTTCACTTCTTTAATGAACAAAATATTTTGAAGGCACAGTCCTATTAATTTCTGTACCCTCAGCACGGAGTTCAATGTAATATTCAATGTCAACATATCTTTAAAATAAAACAACTGACAATACACTCTAGGATGGTGCTGCCCGAGAGACCGATGTGGAAAGAGGCGAAAGCCTAGGCCTGCCTCGGCGCCCCCACCCACGCGACACCGCCGCTTGGTTGNTTCACTTCTTTAATGAACAAAATATTTTGAAGGCACAGTCCTATTAATTTCTGTACCCTCAGCACGGAGTTCAATGTAATATTCAATGTCAACATATCTTTAAAATAAAACAACTGACAATACACTCTAGGATGGTGTTGCCCGAGAGACCGACGTGGAAGGAGGCGAAAGCCTAGGCCTGCCTCGGCGCCCCCACCCACGCGAAACCGCCGCTTGGTTAGAGTGGAGCAAAGTCCTATGGGAAATGTAGTCTTTAGGCCTTGAGAGGAACTTCAGCAACAGGCCGAAGAGTCAGGAAGTCGGGGGGAAAGAAGTGAAGGGGGAGAGTTAATTGGATAATTCAAAAGTGTCAGGAGCCCGAGAGGTGGGTTAAGCCGCTCACCTGAGTCTCCCAACACCAGCACCTTCACCCGATCTAAGGACGCCATCTTGCCACTGCCTTTCCGGGGTTAACTCCTGTTCCTGGATTCTAGGCCAATCAGAACTGGTCATGAAAGGCAGAGCCTTCAATTTCATTGGCCGGTCGGAGAGTGACTGTCTTGATTGAAGGCTTCACTGTGCGGATTGGCTGGTCTGCTTAAAGGTAGCGGGTTGTTTGCAAAGCTGGTCGCAGTAAAAAGGCGTTTCCATTGTCGCACAGGCGGCGTGGCTCGTTTAAGCCGGTAGTTGAGGCGCTGAGGGAAGCTGTAGTGGGAGTGCTCGAGGATTCGCTTCGGTAAACCTTGTTCCCTGTGTCTTGTTCCCATTTGCCTGGCCCGGCATCGCATTTCATGGTTTCTCCTCCTTTTCGCTCCTTTCTCAGCTATCCTCATCCCCCCTCTTGTCTTGGTCCTCTTCTTGGTCCTCCAAAGAACCCTTAACCCCGGAGCGGCCCGTGCGNCGTAATCTTTTAAAATCGAGAAGTTTGATCCAGTCACCTCTTGCTTAAAACCATTTTAAGTTTAAGAAGAGTTTCCAGTTGCTTGTCTTTTTCTATCGTGGAAGCAGGAGTGGAGGAAGTGAATTGGGGGAAGCTGGCATAATGGGCTTGTTGGAGGAACACTTGCCTAGGAGATGTATTGAAAATTTTATGGAATTATATGACTAGCTGTGCTGGATGCTGGAAATTCATTGGTGAACGGGATGAAGTCCCAGGTCTTAAAGACAGACTTGGCCAAAGTACAAGAAGAGGGAAAAGCTATGGGAGCATGTGAAAAGGGGATCATTCTGTGCTACTGTAGCATAGAATCTCGGAAGGCCTCTGTGAGGAAATGTCATTTGAGAGTTGAAGGATGATTGGGAGAAGGGAGTTTGGGCTTAGCTTTGGTGGCAGAGGGAACAGCATGTGCCAAGGCCTGGAAGTAGGGAAAGCATGTGTGGCTCATTGAGAGTGCACTGGTGTGGCTTGATATGATGCTGACAAGGGTAGACAGAGGGCAGAGAGTGCAGTCTCTTCAACTTTTCCTCCAGCTCAGTGCCTGTTCACCATAGTCTTTAAATGTTTGTATGATTAGAATACATGTGGTTCTGGATTGG